ATCAAACGATTATCGATGAAACAGACAAACTTTTAAAACAAGATAGTATCGAACTATCTGTAGGTGCTGGTAGGTGCCGAAGGTGCTGAACAGGTGCTGAGTAGGTACTGAGGTGCTGGGTGACTGCACTTTCCACCTTGTTATAATCGGTATGGATTGATTTTAGACAACTCTTATGTTAGTGATTACAATCGGTTTGCGAACTTAATCGATTCCAGCGGATTATAATCCATATGACTTGATTTCAGATGATTTTTCCTCTTGACTTTAATCGATTCGAAAACATAATCGATCCTGGTTGATTATAATCAGTATCACTTGATTTTAGAGGACTCTTAGGTTACAGATTATAATCGATTCGAAAATTCAACCGATTTCAGTTGATTATAATCAGTACAACTTGGTTTTAATCAATTCTTATCCTAGGGATTATAATCGATTTGCGAACTTAATCAATTCCATTGAATTATAATCTGTATGATTTGATTTTACACGATTTCTAGCTTAATGATTATGATCGATTCCAAAAGGTAATCAATTCTAGTGGGTTATCATCAGTATCTGTTGATTTTTGATGAGAAAAGAATCATAAACTACTGGTGAAAATTGATTATTCAGAAAAATTCATTACAGCTGATTAAAAACAAACCGTAGTAAACCGATTCCACTCGCTAATGATCGATTTTATTCGATTCCAATAAAAAAATTGATGATAATTGAAGAATTATTGATTTGAAATCAATTATGCAAAGAAACCGATTACAACCTTCAATGTAATCCAAAAACTCGAAATTTCTGGATTTTTATCGATTCATTACTCTTGAAACAGATTAAAATCATATATCTGTTAATTTTTAATCTTATTTTTTTACATGGGGTGTCTACTCTCTAAACAAAACAGAATTTTTACCCTACTTAAAAAAGGTTTAGCGAATTTTTAAAGCGAAAAAGCATCTTCCCTTGGGCACACGAGAAGGATCTTTGACTCTGAACCTTTTAAGGTTTCATGGGTAAAAAAAGAATTCGGTGCAAAAGCTATAAAACTTTGAAGGTTCATTCAAAATCTTTGAAGGTTTTGCACTAAACCTCCAAGGTATTGTATTAAACCCCGAAATTTGTGTCACTTTTATAGCGAACCTTTTTCTTGCCCATGAAACCTAAAAAGATTCTTCCCGTATGTCCAAGGAAAGATACTTTCTCGCTTTAAAAATTTGCTAAAACTTCCTTTAAGTATGGTAAAAAGGGGTGTGTGTGGATATGGATGTGAATGTTTGTGAAAACTTAATGCACACGCACACCTACAACGTGTCTGTCTTCATGTCAAACCCTACATTCACTCAAGAATGACTACTTTGTACTCTGATTATTATAAAGGTAAATTGTTCTAGTGTGTTACACTCACTCCAATAGTTTATATTGTAACTGAGCATTGTTATCATGAGACTTGTTTTTGTCTTCTTCAGAAGAGTAGTCACTGATAGGTAGTGTGATGGATGGCGTTGGTGATGATTGAGGTAATACGATTCGTGTCAGTGGTATGATGAATTTCATATTTGTCAGGGCCATGGTTTCAGCTAAATAACTATTGAGAATCAATTGGATCATAATAAAATTACGTATAGTAAAGAAAAAGTTACAAATTCAATTCACTTTCATAAACCATTATGTGTTCCAAGACAAATTCTGCAAGATGTCCGAAGTCCGGCGCGAAAATAAATTCGTATAGCTTCTTTATTTGTCAGAACTAATCAATTAATTTTATTTCATATGGTAGCTATGGATCCAATGTTTTTATTGATATGGATTAATCTCACAAATAATTTTGCAAATTATCACTTTTGATCGAAATAGAGAAATTGAGTTTTATCGACTTTCATCAGAAAAACTGTGTATCATTTATATTTTGACCATCTCATATTTTGCGATATCGTAGTTTTCCAATTCCTTAATACCGTTTTACACATTTTTTTTTAGACATCCTCGTAAAAAGAGATCCCATGGTACTATTCTTTGACATAATACAACAATAAGTTAAGCAAACTATACCGGGCAAATAGAAACCCAGAATATCGGACAATTTGAAGTGATCAAAAAAATAAATGATACACATTTCTTTTTGATGAAAGTCAATAAAACTGAATTTGGATATTTCGATGGAAAGTAGACATGCGCCAAATACAAACCGTTTGAGCTCGATAAGATCGAGCACGATCAAGCTCAGTGATGGATGACAAAAGAGTCAGTTTTCTATCATCAAAGGATAGTAGCTAAGTGTCCTATAGGTAGGTATACACCAATTTCAACTCTAGTCAACTTCAACTTTTGGAATTGACTGGAGTTGACAAGAGTTGAAATTGGAATTGACCGAAGTTGACTCAAATTGACATAAAGTTGACTTGAATTTGGGTAGAATAGCCCACCAGTCCTCAAGGGCTATCCTAAGGGGTACTCATAAGTCCTCATCGTCTATCCTATGGAGGTATTATAGCTCTTCATTGGCTATCCTATCGAAGTACCCATAAGTCCGCATGGTCTGTCTTATGGGGAACCCATAAATCCTCATTGCCGATCCTATGGAGGCATTCGTAGGTCTCATTGGTCATCCCATGGAGTATCCATAAATCCTCATTGGTTATCCTATGGAGGTATCCATATATTCTCAAACGCTTTCCTGTGATGGTACTCATAAATGCTCAAGGACTGCCCTATAGGAACACATATAAGTAGGTGTGTGACAGCGCCATGGCAGCTCGCTGAGCTGTCTACCAGCTCTTAGACTGAGCTCTCGTCAGCTATGGAACTGGAGCCATCGTGCACCTAGTGTTGAATCTGTTTTTGCTTAAAGAGGAACTCAAACTTGGTCAATATTTTTCCAATGCAATTTCCATGACTTAATACTAATTCTGAAGCAAAACCACTCTATTACGGGCCTCAGTTGCTTGCAGCTAAGTAAAAAAGTCCACTTTTACATCTTAAAGGAAAACTCAAGTACACGACTCTTACTATATCCTAAGATTAGATTATTGTATCATATTCAACTTTACTTACGAGGAAACATTCCCAGGTGTCACGTTCCGTTTCGAATCTGGTATTTGCCATTTTATAGAGCTCAGTGAGTACAACATGTAATATGAAGGATCCGTCGCCATACTGGGCTTTTAAGGAACTACGAGGTACCATCAAGGGTGTCGCATAGTAACTGAAGATAAATTATTGATGGTATTTTTCATACTTTGTCTTGATGCAGAGGGTTGAAATTTTTATCACATGTATATCTAATCAGAATCTTTTATTCCTGAAATTTTCAGCTATTTAGTAATAACTAGTGGTGAAATACATGGACGAGCTTGAAACAAAGCTTTTCCTACTCGATTTTTGCATAATTGTCACAACGAAAATAATGCAAAATTCGAGTAGGAAAAGCTTTGTTTCAAGCTCGTCCATGTATTTCACCACTAGTTATTACTAAATAGCTGAAAGTTTCAGGAATAAAAGATTCTGATTAGATATACATGTGATAAAAATTTCAGCTCTCTACATCAAGACAAAGTATGAAAAATACCATTAATAACTTATCCTCAGTTACTATGCGACACCCTTGATGGTACCTCGTAGTTCCTTAAAAGTCCAGTATAGGAACGGACCCTTTATATCACATGTTGTACTCATTGCGCGCTATGAAATGGCAAATAACAGATTCGAAACGGAGCGTGACACATGGAGATGTTCTCTCGTTAGTGGATGACGTACGAGTGGTATCCTTTTCATAGTTTTGCGCCGTGTGTCTAAAAGCTCTTTAAATCCTATGACGACCAAACCTAGATATATCTTTCACAGCTAACGCTAACCGACACCCGTTCATGCGATATCCCTCTGTAGAGTAATGAGCACTACCGCAGCGCAGTGCTTGAAAAGTTAACGCTACGAAACCTCGATAGCACTTGGTGGCTTATGGCTACTGTTCATGAAAAGCCCTTGAAGATTTCTGAGTAGTCCCACAGAAAAGTGCTTGAGAACTTATGGATATCCCACAGGATAGGCGATGTAGACTTATGGGCTCCCAATAGGGCAGGCCATGAGGACTTATGGGTACCTCGATAGGATAGCCAACGAGGACCTATAATACCTCCATAGGAGAGGCGATGAGGACTTATGAGTACCGCCATAGAATAGCCCTTGAAAACTGATAGGCTACTCCACTCAATTCAAGTCAACTTTGACCAGTTTTTAGTCAACTCCAGTCAATTCCAACAGTTGAAGCTGACTGAAGTTGAAATTGGGGTATAGCAACCAGTAGGACACTAAGCTACTATCCTTTATTCATAGAAAACTGATTCTTTACTCATCCATCACTGAACTTGATCAAGCTCGACTTGAACTCGAACTTTAGAGTTTGAGTTTGAATTGAGCTTGAAATTTGATGTTCGAGTTCAAACTCAATCGAGCTTCTTGCGTCGAGTTCAAACCGAGCTCAATCGTATAAAGTTTGGTATCGAAACTTGAATCTGAGCTTGAGCTTCGTACATGTTTAATGGGCAGCGATGTCTTGAAACATTATTTGTGAGATTGATCTTTATCAATCAAAACTTTGCGTTCATAATTAGTATATTACTCGAAAATGTTCTTCAATTAGTTCGCTCTTATTAATGTTCTCGTTTAAGTCTCAACAGGAGCATCGCACTAATCCTCTCAAGAGTATGGTAATGTGGCACCGGTCGAAGAGATAACCTATTTTTTATAAGACTTCTTATGGGTATGAATGAATTTCCAATAACATTCAGACGCTTTCCTTCGACGATATTCAAAATGAAAATAAATGAATGAATCTGAGTTAATGTCAATTTCCTAACGCTTAGCTAGTCATGTAAGAGGCTTTAAAAAAGAAGATACCGTTGGATAAATTAATTGTAGTAGTATTTGGTGTTGATGTAGTAACCATATCAATATCATTGTCATCTAAAAACGTATTGGATAGTGACAAAAGACTACTATAGACACAATTATGAACCTTTGGAAGCTACTGATTCATCACTAGTATTAATATTGAGATCTGAAGTAATATAATTTTGTATAATTTCATGTGGAAATAAGGGAAGATCAATTGATTTGGGTAAAGAGTCTTGAGGAAGATTGCATCGATACGGTGAAACAGAAACGTTTGCGTGGCCATCTTCAATCCAACCAGGTAAAGTAAATTCGATTGATTCACTCCAGCTTGCATCTTCACTGAAACTTTGTGCGAGAGTTCCAGCCGATAAAACTACAAATTCGTTTGGATGTTGAATAATTCGATGGTAACGAATATGATATTTGTCCAATACTGAAGGATCAATTAATATTCGGTCGTGATCGAGACAAATAGATGAGTTTTGTTTATCAATTATTGTTTGTACAGATATTCGTTCACGATGGGGAATAATATACCAATGATGTGGACCACCTTCATGATGGTAGTAAACTGAAAAGAGACGCTGTTGAGCAGAAGTCAACGGAAAAATAGCACCTGGTTCATATGCCCTTCTCATAGATGGAACAAATTGGTACGCCACTTTGCTACCATCTAATTTGAGAAGTGACTGATCAGGTAAACTGCGGATGTTAAAATATAAACGAGATGATTTTTTCTTATAGAAAAAGCTCGAGTCATGCAGTACTGAAGTATTCGTCCGGCGTCGCTCGTTGTTGGAACAAGATAATGACGACCAAAAAACACGTTCATTTGTTACCAATGAAGTTTGTTGAGTTGGTTCGTCAATATGGTCAACTTCTTGTACGAGGTAGACATTTTCATCTTTACTTATCTTTACAATTTCTTCCATTGTTGGATATGACATAATATTTTTTCGTCCTTTCTTTAAAGCTAATTTACAACTGACATCCAGTTGGATTTTCACTGCACCAAATTCTTTCAAAAGCCGTTCATGTTTATAAGTAAAACTAATAAAGTTCTGCAGCTGGTGTCCGTTGATTTGTAAAGTTGGAGCGTCCATCCAGATAGATGACATCTTTATCTTAAATATGCACACAATTAAATCCAGTTATTTATATAAAACTATACTATATAAGTTCTGATTTCCTTTTGCGACGTTTTTTTCTTGCATGTTTCTCGAATGAAAGAGGCTGATATTTACAATATATATATTCTTGGAAAAAATAGTTAAAGCCTGTATTTTCAATTATGTTGTCTGTAAATAAACACATTGTTTTAAAACTAATTCAATATTTTGAAAGCGCATGGAGTTTGCTATCAGTTTGTATATTTCTGTTTTAGTTTGTATTTATCCGTTATCAAAATAAATCCAGTGCAGTGAAGACACCATCATGTCCAGATTGCTATAAGTTGTTCAGTTTATTTTGAAATGATTTGCATCGACTTTTTTTTCGTAAGTGACTAATCAAGATTGGATGACTCTCATATTAGTCTACCTTATTCATGTCACTGATGTTGTTAGAATATTCTGACTTTAGATAACCAAACGTGTGATAACAAAACATTTGATAATATAGAAGAGTTCGTCAAGTATTTTTTGACAGAACAATGTTTATATTTTGTGAAACAGGAACAATTATTATTTGAAATGTTTTTATATATATGAAAAAGTACGATTAGATGTGTCTTCAAAAAGAAAACATGAAAAGCAGCCCCGATTAGTTTAATAACCGTATCTCATTGACTTTAATACGAGTTTTGTAGACCACATGAGTAATCCATATTACATATGCTGTGCAGTAGGGCTACCCCTTTCCAATAATAGGTAGATATCACTAGTCTACACTATAAAAAAGAGCAGAATAATAAATCTGTATCCCATATTCGATCTTTCATAAACCTTTGAAGGGTTTATGACGTCGACATAAACCCTTCAAGGATTTATACGACCAAAGGTTTATGGGAGCAAGGGTTTATAATTCCTTTCTAAAGATTTATATTGGGCTTCAAAACGTAGATTATTCTGCGCTTCTCATATTAGAGTTTATTGTTCTGCTTTCAAGGATAGATTATTCTACACTTGTCATAGTAGCGTTTATTATCCTACTCTCCAATGTAGATTATACTACGATTTTCATAGTAAGATTCATAATTCTACTACTTAACGTGGACCTTTCTTCGATTTCTCTAACAGCTTTCGATGATCATTCTCCATAGATTTGTTGAGTAAGACTATATATTATTGAGTGTGTCGAAACAGTTGATATTGTAAATAAATTTCGATTTAATTCATTGTTCATACAACAGAAATATTTCAGAATTATCATAATGTGGCCAGATTATTCACATTACCTATCGAATCTCTGTATGATTAGAGAACAATTTGATCAAAGTAAGCCACAATATATCATCCTAGAAAAAAATAGCTTAACTCGATATTTTAAACATATTATCACTATAAATTAATATTTTGAGAAAAGTAATTATATATTCGCATAGCCCTTGAAATTCTCTACAATTCTACATATGTAAGTTTTGAATTACACTTGTTCGCTCAAAAATAAATTCGAGCAGAGTAAAGGCACTTTCATCGTCAGATTCTGTGAAAATGCATTTTTTACCCCTTCTTCATTCATATTTTTAAGCTTATTTTTGCACATAGGAACAGTTTATTAAAAAAAGTAAGTATATATTCTGAAAGCAGGTGAAATTTTTTATCATTCTGTACTTTTTTCAGTCGTGACTTGGAAATATTTGAGAACAAATACTTCAAATATTGTTAATGTACCTGTGCATCACATTCAAGGGGAAAAAAAGCAGACTTCTGTACTTCCTTATACTTCCCTGTACTTCTCTGTACTTCTTTGAACTTCGTTGTACTTCTTTGTACAGTGCTGGCCATAAGCCTCTTACCTCCTGAACGATTATTGTTTTTCATTGTTGTCAGTTAATATTTTGAGTTCATGCCGAAAATGAATTATAAAATAATTCTAAATTTCTATATGTTATATATTGCTTATATATAAAGGTATATATAGAGAGTGTTCGGTAATAACTGAGGATAAATTGTTAATGATAATTTTCATACTTTTTCTTGACATAGAATAGGGGTATACCGCTCACGCTCATGAGCGCTCATATGAGCGTTTTTCGCTCAAGCTCACATGAGCGTGAGTGGTTTTACGCTCACGTGAGCGTGAGTGTGAGCGTTTTCTGACTCAAAGAAAGTACGAGTGTCTCTGATCACTTTTTTCAATTTTGTTCCTCGAAAATCGATATTGATGATTTTTGTGCCTGGGGTTCCCCTCAGGTATCATGAAAAAAAATTTTTTTTTCATGAGTCAAAATCAGATGTAGTGGTGGATTGAGACATGCTGATTAAGAATATCACAATGAGAGCTCTCAAAATCTTTCTATCCCTGAAATAGTCCTAACCACTCTATTCACTGTATCCTTCATTATTGGGGTCCTTATACAATATTTATTCACTTAAATGTAGCCGGAAACATCTTTCTTACCCAAGATTTTGAGTTATCTACGAATCTGGGCTTGTTACGCAGAAAAAAAAACGTAGCTTTTGAGAAAAAAACGGTCATTCCGGTGCAGAAATCGACCTTTTATAAATGCACAGAATTTTCTTCCGAGAACTTTTTGAGAAGCCACTGTTATCGTAACATGAAAGGACAGGGAACGTTTTCCTGGGATTTTGGCCCACTGTGAAAATAAAGGTTGTTCCGAGTGAAACTTTCAGCAAATACTCAGCTATATACCAGTAGCCATTACACAAAATTTCAACTTGATCCGTTGAACTTTTCCTTTACTTTCACCACACCCTAAATGTACATATAAATACTCTATAGGGGTTACCTTGTGGACCCTCGTTCTCGACTATACGATTCAGAACTGAAATGATTTTTCTAGGATCACTAGGAATAAGTGAGGGCTACAATATTGCAAGGACATGAGGTCCAGAAAGGAACTGTCTTTGTACCCATTTGAAGTACACAGTGCCAAAAATCCTTGAAAAATCCCTATAGAGGTAACCCTGTTGACCTTCGTTCTCCACTATACAATTCAGAACCGGAGCCATTTTTTCAGGATCACTAGGAATAAGTGAGGGCTACAATGTTGCAAGGGCATGAGGTCCAGAAAAAACCTGTCTTCGTATCCACTTGAAGTGCACAATGCCAAATATCGATGAAAAATCTCTATAGAAGTGACCCTGTTGACCTTCGTTCTCCACTATACAATTCAGCAATGAAAACAATAACAGTTCAGCGGAGTAAGGAAGTTATGGCCAGCACTGTACTTCTCCGTATTTCTCTGTACTTCTTCGTACTTCTCTGTACTTCTCCGTATTTCTTTGGACTTCTCCGTACTTTTCTGTACTTCTTCGTATTTCTCTGTACTTCTTTGTACTTCTTCGTACTTTTGTACTTCAGAAGTACAGAAGTCCTGCTTTTCCCCCCTTAGAGCTACCTCAAGAAAATGAAAGACAAGGTGTTCATTAAAAAACAAATTTTTATTATTTAATGCATCTCTATTTTATGAAGATCAATATTGTGGAACTCATATGTTTTCGAAGAAAATAGTGAATGGAAGTTTGAAGTATAAGTTTCGCGGCTCTCTCCTCCTCATTACAGACTTGAACAGCCGTTGACAGCGGACTTCAGACTCCTTTCCTAGAGTTCCTTAACAATGGAAAGAGGAGCTGAACGATATCAACAATAAGACTTCGACGGTTCCAGGACATTTCAGAACTTTCCTCGAACTTTAAGTGGCTATAATATATTTTTGAGTATTTTAAATAGTTTAAGTTTTGATATTTGTCCATATAAAAATTTCTATTGAAAATGTAAACAATGGCAGGTAATGATAAATTAATTTGTCAGTCATCAAAAGGTCAACATAAAGCGTTTCAAGTGATCAACTCATAACTTTGGAAAATGATCAATATCGGAGTCTGTGAGCTTATCGAGATAAATATGATAGGGGCATCGAGAAATGCTGATGTAGATATAATGAATCTTTACAACAGACTTATTCGTCAATTAATTCAATGTTCAGAATAATAATAATTTTAAAGTTAAACGAAATACGTAAAAGAAAAAAACGAATGAATAGCTATCAGTCGAACAAAAAAAAACGAAAGAGCGCCAGTATGTAAAAAGAAAAAGAAAGTTCGATTCGATATGCAGAAACAAATAAGATATATCGACTGTCTGAAGATCGATTACCTTGAAAAACAGTTATAGTCTGCTAAAGATATTTCACCTAGTCCACATTCTATTAGTAAAATTAAACTAAAGAATATGTGAGTTCCACATTTCAGCCCCAAAAGAGCTGTGCTAACAAGCTTTTCTTATTCATATCTGCTCTTTGTTATTATGAACAATAAGATAAATTAACATTCTCAATCTCAATACAAGATCCCATAGTACGTTTTGATTTATCAAATTAAATATTCTTTTTTAATTTAGATTTATGCGAAAAATAGATGTGATGGTAACAATATATTGAAAAAATTATTTCATTTTTTTTATTTAGGCTTACCAAACAGCAGACCACTATGAAAAAGAAGCGTCGAATCGCAAA